CCCCCCCCCAGACCGATTTTCAGAAGCTCGATTGCTCCGTTACCAAGACTGTGCCAACACAAGAAAATTATGGTTTTGGAACCATCTCGTCGAGGGCTTTCTGTAGATGTTTCGGGCTCTTTCCACACACCCCTCGTTGTGGAGCAGTCGAGCTTTGAAGGTCGGTCTAGGGGGGGGTGCCATCTCTCGTCTTACGGTGCCCCAAAACCGACTACGCAGGTTTTATTGTAGTAAAATATTTAAGTTCTTAAAACATTTCTTTGCTTGGGCCAGGATTTTGGTTGGTGGCGCGTCTCTGTTGTACCGCTGTATGCATCGGGGATGTCCAGTGAGATTATTGTTCGTTCCATCTGACGCTCAGCGGGAAGGGGTAGGGAACCTCAGGGAAGGGAAAGGAAACTTACCGTCTGTGTGACCACGGGTTCGAGCTCCCACCAATACCCGGCAGAAGTGCTCTGAGCGTTGATTTAAAGTGACGAACAACAACAAAAAAATGCGCTGGGTGCCAGTGTAAACCTTGCGGTACCTGTTTCATCGCACCAGCAAATTTTTGCAAATGATAGGCGTAACGATAACACACACACCAGACGGGTTCACTCGGAAAGAAACCTCCACCTTCCCTCTTGCCGTGGTTGCCTAAATTTGTGGTCTACTGCTGCTGTAGGTAGGGAACGAACGGCAAGGACCGAAGACTTTTTTGTTTTTTCGCGACTTCTATTGCCGTTCACCGTGGACCTAAGATTTAAATTCCCTCCGATCGTATTTGTCTGTGATGCTCCGACCGGCGGTTGATGCTTGGATTTTTCGTTGTTGTTTCCATTGCCGCAGTTTTGTTTCTTTTTTTGATGTTTGCTCTTAGTTTTGTTCATTTTTCCCTGCCTTTTTTATTTTTTTTTGCTTGTCTCTTCTTCGTTCCCGCCTCTTTACCCGCATGGTCTCTTACTGTGTCCGTATGCACGTCCGTATGTGTGCGTCTCTCGTTCTTATTATTGCCCCGTATTCTTTGTTTGCTCGTCCTTGTTTATTCCTTCCTTTCTCGTTCATGAAGTTTCTCCGCTTTCCTTCTTTTCACGTTGTTGTTGTTGTTGTTGTTGTTGTTGTTGTTTCCCCGCTTTCCTTCTTATTTTCTCTTTCTTGGTCCCAATTTTTTCTGCCGCCTTTCCTCTTTCTGTTCTTCCGAGCGCAGAAAATCAAGAGCCTGGAGGGCGGCATCCCCGTCTTGGAGGTAAATAAAAAAAACATCATTTCAATGTACTTGGTTTTTTCCCATAGGGTAAAAACCTGTTCACACCTAGCGTACGTGATACACAACCTGACGTTTATATCGGCAAATCTCCCGTGTGCCTTTTTCGTACGACCGCACAGCAGTCAGCACTGCTGTGGGAACGCAAGGCCCTTTTCGTTGTAAATTGTTGGGATTTTGTCGTTGGCTTGCCGTTGGATCCGTATATTACCCATCTGGTTGTATCGAGTTTTGATTGCTGTTGAAGAGACCGGTCCCGTTGGTTTGTGTAACTTTTGTCGGTGATACTACTCCCAGGTTGCGGTAGTCTTTGTCGTTGTTCGATGCACTTCCCGAAGGCGCGGAACCGTCCCCCGGCAGCAGGAACGTTATTCGGACTGGTCTTCGGACTCTTCCCCTTACTGTGTTTCGAGGTGTTGCACATTGGTGGTTTATTGCACGGGCTATGTTTTTTTTTCATGCTATATATCGTTGTTTCCTTGCTCCTCCAGAAATGTCATCATCTCTTCGTTTTTTTTGTATGGTGCAGACAAAACTCGCTGAGGGGGGGGGTGCGGAGAAGGCCAAACTCACCAAGCGCCTGGAGAAGATTCTCGAGCAGCACGCCGCCACCCGTGAGTTGTTGCTGTCATGTCCTGCTGTGATTGTTTTCTCCCCTGCCTATCTTGCAGCGACTCCGCAGAGAAATCGCGTCTTGAACCTATTGTACCTACATTTTGCTTGCTGTTTTTGCATTTTTGAAAAAATGCAGTGAAAGAGGCTCAGGAGCAAGCATCGGCCATGCTCGATGTGTCCTTGGAGGTGCTGGCCGCTACGTGTGCGAGGCGCGTGGCCGGGGATAAGCTCGAGGAGGCCAGCGAGGCGCTGAGGAACGCACAGGAAGCCAGGGCGGTGAGAAAGAAAAAAAAATGGGAGATCTGTTCGAGGTCGTTATGTACTCGTACAAATCTCGGATTTGAAACGAATCCAGATTTCCGAACGATATCGGGAAGAGTCAGATCTCCCATGAAGCACGTCGAAAAATGACTCTACAGCAGTAGTACGTTGTTCAGTCCCCTTCCTCTCTCCCGCAATATTCCGGAGTACGCCGGAGCTACATACATCGAGGAGAATGGAAGTATTTGAGAGTAGCATGCCGCCTCGCAACACGCGGCGTTCCGCCGCGGTGGCGACTTCCTCCTCATGGGAGGGGGGGGGCGTACTCTTGTGTTTGCATGCCTTAGCGGTTAGACCATTGACCACGCGTCCTCGAGAGGACGGAGCATTGTTCCCACAGGACCGATCACCGATGGCCAATCGTTCCTTCCTACTTTGCCAAACGTGGCTCAAAAATGTCTTCCCTAGTTTGTCTATCCTAACGATATCTCTTTTCGCCTTTTCAAACCACTTCCTACTCCCCAGTACAGCTACCGTCCTCTCCTCTCTATTCCATGCCTCAAACACCTCCCTGTACGTCCCTTGTATTTTTCCCAGCTCAGTCATGTACACTTCCCTCTCCTCTTCGTACCACGGACATTCCGCGACTACATGAACTCGGTCTTCGCATTCGAAGCCGCAATCACATTTGAACTTGTCGTCTTCGTCGTCTACCGTCCTATGTCTTCGTCGACGTTCTCGAAAGCCTATGTCCCCGGTCCTGAATTTGACCTTATGCTTTGTCCCTGCATCCATTGGTCCATGTAGGTAATCCTTGAACCCTATTCCTTCTTTCAACATTCCGTACACTTCTAGACCCTCCTTATCCTCGGTTTATTTCCTTGGATTATGTTCTTCTCTCTCGGCACAAGCAACAGATATCTTCTCCTTGAACCCCTGTAGACCCTCCGTTTCCAGCGTTTCATCTTCGTCGATGTCGAACCCCTTCCATACGTCCTCTACAACCTTGACCCATTCCGTGGGTTGTCTACCCCTCTTTTTGTTTGCCCACTTCGCCTCCCATACTATTCTCGGCAACCTCTCCTCTCCCATCCCGCACATGCGATACTGCCATGTCAGCTTCCTTGCGTCTCTTCCCGACCGTAGGGTTGGATCCCCATTTCTGTCCTGACGGCTGCATTACCTGTGCGCTTGGAGCATCCTAGGATGATTTTCGCTGCTTTCATCTGCGCCGCCTCGAGTTCTTTCACTACCTTCTTATTTCCTTCCCATACTTCTCCGGCGTACTCTAGCGGCGGTACGATTACGCTCTTCAACACCGTCAGTTTGATGCGTGTATCGAGGTGCCGGTTTGCGAGTATTGGGTGCAGCTTCCCTGCTCGTGCTTTGCCCTTTTCCGCTACCTTGGACATGTGTGCATTCCACGAGCAGTCTTTTGCGATCTCTACTTCGAGGTATGTGTACTGGTCCACTACTGCAATCTCCTCGATCCCCCACTTCCATCTATGTTCTACTGGTTCCTCCCTGTCCTCGTTGCAAACCATGACGGCACTCTTCTTAACGTTGGCAGACAATCTCCACCTATCAGTAAAAACTTCTTCGCCGCGTCACGGGGGCGGGGGCGGCTTTTTCACCACCTCCACCCCGGCCGCCTCCCCGGCCCGACCGCCAGACGGCCACGTTGGCGGACGCGACCACCGCGCCCTATGCCGTGCTACACCGCGCTGGTGCCTTGCGCGGGGGCTACGCTGGACCTTAGGCGGGCCATTGTGGCCGCAACCGCGTGGGTTGTGACCAGGGCACGTTGGAGGGGTGATTTTACGATGTGGGGGGAGTGGTCATCCAACTGCCGCCTCTTCCGGGGGCGGAAGTTTAAGTATACAGAAGGCTTCTAGTGCGGGCCGGGAAGGCGGCCGTCTCGCGTGCAGGCGACAGGTCGGTAGCGTATCGTCGGGCGGAGGCGATGAAGAGGCTTCAAGCTTGGGCTGTCAGACCCACTTCTCCCACCGCTTCGAGAAGAGCACAGCCTTCCGACGGTAAAAGACGGCCGTGGCCAAGCGATATGGCGACGATGTAGTCGGCCAGAATCTTCTTCGCCTCCGCCCGACGATACGCTACCGACTTGCCGCCTGCACGCGAGACGGCCACCTTCCCGGCCCGCACCAGAAGTCTTTTGTATACTTACACTTCCGCCCCCGGAAGAGGCGGCAGTCCGGGTGGCCACTCCCCCCAATTGTAAAATCACCTCCTCTAACGTGCCCACGTTCGCCTCCATGCGACGGGGCCACGATCTGTCCTTGACGCTGAGATTGCAAGTTCTGCGGCTGCCAGCGGGGGTAGGGGGGGGGTCTTATCTTACACCTCCAGTTTGGCAAGACCCGACGTGACTCCGTAGACGCCGTGATAGTGGGCCCGGACGTCGCTTGTCCGTCTATTTGCGCGGTGAGCAATGTTACGGGCATACATGAGTGCGGCGGAGCGTACTGGCTTGGACCTGTCCCAAAAACACCCGTTTCCAATGGTGCTGCCCAACGGAACTCGAGGCTGCGCTTCGCTCTCGCGGCGGCTCAGATGACGGCCGCCCTGCGAGGGCCTTTGCCAGCGGTGGGGCTGCCACACTGCTACACTTTGCGTTCTTTTCGGGTATGGGGTTCTGTTGCACAGTCGCTGGACGGAACTGCGATGGGCGCTATCATGAAAATTGCCGGGCGGCGTACCGAGAGCGTCGCAAAACGCTTTGTTGGCGCCACTACTAGTGTAAGGACGGTGGGTTCCAAGAGGAGCCGTAGCGAGCACTACGCTGACTCAAACGCATTGCCGTTGTCGCCCGACTTGACATGATGTTTTCTGCATGTGCACACCGCGGAAAATAGGAAGGCTTGGGTGGACGAGACCTAGCTTCGAGGGGTGTGTGGTCAACGTATTGCCGTATGGTGCATCAGACAACCAACAAGAAATTTATGGGCGGGACCACAGGCCGGTGCGGGAGGCCTCACCCAACCAAATCCAATACTTAGATTGAATGATCTGGGTAGGGGACAAGAATAGAACAGCAATCTCGGATTTGGAACGAATCCAGGTTCTTATACGAAATCGGGAAGAGTCACATATCCCATGAAGCACGTAGAAAAATGACTCTTCACCTTGTTGGTCAGCCCCCGTTCCCTCTCCCGAAATACGCCGGAGCAGAGGAGAAGGAAAAACCATCCCACCCGTCGTACCAATGCTGATTCTATTCATGAACTCACTGATCATTGAAACGCTTGGGTCTCTGGGCATATAGCGATATTTATGCCCAGCCCGAAGAGTAACTTCACGGCGAGGCCCTCCGGTCGGTTCAGAAGGCCTCACACAACCAAATCCTACTACTACTTGCATTGAATGATCTGGGTGCGGGACAAGAATACAACGGCATAGTTTGATGAAAGCTGGAGGGCTTCAGGAGGCGCTGCAGAATGCGAAGTGGGGAGGCAGCATTGATGTAGTTTGATAAGGGGGAGGGGCAGAACACTACTGTGAAATGATGCTCGTGTGGCGAACAAGCAAGGTGATGTGATTGAAGTGTACATCTCTCTCTCTCTCTGTGTGTGTCTCGCAGTCTCGACTGCGATTTTGGTGCACACAATTTACCACCTCCTTGTGCGAGTTTGGTCTCGCTGGGTACTAGCCGGATTTGATTTGATTTGAGCGTGATCGTACTTGTTGCTCTTTTTATCTTTTTATTCCTGTCTCGGCTCGTCATCTTCCACTCTGTTTCTCGTCTCGTTCTCGTTCCCCAACCTTGAATGCTTGGATGGATGTTCAATCCGCCGTCCTAACTAAGATTTTTTATTCTGTTTTCCTCTTCTTTTTTTATTTTGTTTGTTGACGATGGTTTGACGTCCACCGTTGGGAATGCGACCGTGACCCCAAAAATGCCGAAAAAATATGTCTCGTTTTCGTTTATATCTTTGTGTGGATTGCTTGTTTGTGGATTGCACTTACGATTCCTTCTTTGCACGTCGTTTTTTTTTCGAAACAGGACCTGGAACAGAAGGTCAAGGAGTTGAAGGCCCAGAAGTCGCAGTATCACAAGCAGGTGAGAAAGGCTGTTGGTGCTCTTGTTGGATGTTGGTGCGGCTCCGCCTAGAAGAAACCACGCGGCTCAGGGTGCTTGCCTGCCTCATAATTGGGAGGGTCGTGCGTGGTGTCCGAAAGTCCTTGCATGTTTCGTTTGCACGCGCTAGGTGTTATATTTTGTTCTTGGCAAGACACCCGACTTTGCTCCAAGTACCGTCGTACTTGGGGGATAGCTAGAATAGCATGTTGGAATAGCTAGAATAGCATGTTCACCCGCCACAGCAGCGTGGCTGAGACAGCGTTGTACCCTGGGATAGATACCCTGTCGCGGGGGGGGGGGGGGGGGGGAGATTTCTTGCGCAAAATGAGACGTTGTAAATATTTGGCTTTTAGCATGGTCCTTTTTTTCTGGTGAGAGCGGGGTAGCCTGTGCACGTGGTTTGCCGATACGATACAACTCCGTCTTGGTTCCTTCCTCGTACAGCAGTACGGCAGCAGCAGCACAGCAGTATTGGTGGTCCTTGTGTAAGGCCGCACAGCAGTACCGCGGGATTCCGCCAGCCTTTTACCTGGCACCTGACACTTTTCAGAGTATGAGAAACCTTGAATGTTTCATCTGGGTATTGCGACTTCATCAGCTTTTTCAGCAGGGCGACCGGGCTTGTTTGTTCATGCCGCCTATGCGGGGGACCGCTAAAAAGTACTACATCCATTGTGGTTGTTTCGTTGCTCGTATGTAGCCTCAGAAGGATAGTGTAGTGTGAAGCAAACCAAAACATTTGAGCTTCAATTGCGAAGTTCTAGTTCGAGATAGTGATGCTTATCTTCACCTTCGAACCCAGAGCGCACTGTCGGTTCAACTAAAGCCTGCTTCCCCCAGTTGTCGTGTTGTTGTTGTTGATGATGCTGTAGTTGTTATTTTGCTAAAAGCCGGCCCGACCTCTGCTCGCCAGCGTGCCTTCATCGCCTTCAAACATCCCCGCTGCCCCTGACTGACGGATGGAATCTTTTTTTTGTCTTTTTCCGTCGACGAACAGTTCCTCGCTGAGAAAAGAAAGGCCGAGCACGTGGCGCCGCGGTGGATCGATGATGATCAGTCCAACCTGACCGAGTTTGGGGAAAAGTACAGCGAGCTGCCCGACAACGTGTTGCAGCTGGATGCCGTGATCGAAGACCTGACGGAAGACCTGAGTGGGTCTGTCCACAACCCGCAAGTCATCAAGAAGTACCAAAAGGTGCGTTTGTTGTTGTCGTTTCTGCTTGAGGTGCATCGATCGACTCGTACCGTGCGGAACATGCCGTTGCTGGATGATGCACCACGCCGCAGCTGCAGCCGTGCTTTAGAAAACCCGAGCATTGACAAACAAAGTTTCAAGTATCCCAAAGCCACTTTTTTAGTTGGTTGTGTCTTTTCGCCCTTTATTTCTACCCCGAGTTTTTTTTTTTGGTCGTCGGCGAGCCGGTGACCCGAATTACACGTTACTCGTATGTGTGTGCGGCGGTATTATTCTAGCGTGATTTCATTCCATTATTGTTTTAGCAGGATCTCATTCCATGAACTTGTTAGCAGGAGCTCAGGTGATGATGTGTTTCTACCGCTGCATGCATGTATCTATCTTGTTTCTGTAATGTTTGCAGCTGAAAGAGGAGACAGAAACGGCACGGAAAGCACTGAGCGAGCTGGTCGAGGGCAACCTCAACGCCAACGAGAGGATGAACAGCATCAGGACTCCATGGAAGGAGAAGCTGCAGGACATGGTGGCCCAGCTGAACGAGCTCTTCAGGGAGTAAGTCTTGTCCACGGATTGGAGGCCAGAAGACTGCTAAGGCTGTCGGCCGCTGCGCAGTGTAGCGCTCTCGGGCGTGCTGTGTGTAGTCACGCGGGTTGCGTGAAACAACGACTGCTGTGTAGAGGAGACAACGAATGGGTCGGATGAGTAGGTCACACAGAACAACGAGCACCAAGAAAATTCTGGAATGCCGCTCGGTCCTCCCCTAGAGCATGAGGTGTGAAGGCCGGACAGTGAAATGATTTCCTACCTAACGCTCTCGAACCTTGCTGCGACAACGATACCGACAACAGGTACATGTCAAAGATGGACGGGTGCGGTGGCGAGGTTAGGCTGGCTGAGGACGAGTCGTCCTTCAAGAAGTGGGGGATCGAGATCAGGGTGCGCTTCCGATCGGAGGCGGACGGGGGCAAGATGGCGGTGCTGAACGCACGGGTACACTCGGGGGGCGAGCGGTCCGTGTCTACCATTCTCTTCCTCATGGCCCTCCAGGTGAGGCAAGGCAAGGGATAGACGGAATGATGATTACGTGGGACGGGATGGCTAGCGTGTCTGGCCGAATGGCCCACCACGAAACACGGCACGAAATACCTCAAGCAGGCGTATCGGACATCTATACATTCTTCGTTTACTTTCCTCCATGCAATCCTTTGGTCAACAACATTTTTTTTATCCTGCGGATGAAATGAATGAATGCCTCGCAGGACCTGCAGCACAGCCCGTTCCGTGTGGTGGACGAGATCAACCAGGGCATGGACCCCAAGAACGAGAGGCAGGTGTTCAGCCGCATCGTGCTCAACTCGTGCGGGCCCAGCCGCAAGCAGTACTTCCTCATCACACCCAAGCTGCTTCAGGTGGGCGTTGCGTTTTTCCACTGCTGTCTTTTTTGCTTGAGTGCTTCATATCGGGGGTTTGTTTGTTTGTGGTTTTCTTTGTGGCGGATTGGTGAAGGCCCCCGGCCTTCGCAGCTGTACAGGCCGGTGCTCCCCCCCCCCCCCCCAAAGACTAACGAAGATTTTGATGGGGGGATGAAGCAAATGTGGGTAGGAATCCAAGGGATAGTCGGCAGGAAGAGAGGGGGAGACACGGAAATAACGACACTAAGATCTGCCGAGGGTAAGATGGTAAGCAGTTCTAAAGGAAAGAGGGAAGTACTAGTAGAGCACTACCGCAAACTTGGGACACCCACCACCAACGACAACTTCGACTCGGAGTTTGAGAAGGAAATCAACTCGTGGGCAGAGGAAAACGTTGAAAGATCTCGGAGGGAACGTAGTGATGTAGACGGGTTGCAGGGAGAGTTCACACGAAAAGAGGTAGAGGGTTGCGTAGCGAAACTCAAGAATAGAAAAGCGGCAAGGGCTGATGGAATTGTGAACGAGCTTTTGAAACAGGGGGGGGAGGGGATGATTAACATGTTGGTCCGGATATTCAACTGGATATGGAAACACGAGTACGCGCCGAAGAGATGGAGAGAAGGAGTAGTCGTGAACCTGTTCAAAAAGGGGGATAAAGCTGACCCGGGGAATTATAGAGGGATAACCCTGCTGAGCACAGTGGGGAAAATGTTTGGCAAGATGCTAGACAATAGAATGGGAGACATGTTGGAGGGGAAACAAAAGATCAGCGAAGGACAAGCTGGATTTAGACCAGATCGTAGTTGTGTAGACCATGTATATACGTCGAGTAAAATCATCCAAGGTAGGAAAGACGCCGGGCGTACGACATAATGTTTCTTCCTCGATGTACAAAAAGCCTACGACACCGTATGGCGCAATGGATTGTGGAAAAAGATGTGGGACATCGGCATCCGGGGGAAAATGTGGAGGATGTTGAAAAAGATGACAGAATGCACAAGAAGTGCGGTGATGTTGGATGGGGAAATTTCGAAGTACGTGGATATACTCCAAGGAGTCGCACAGGGCTGTACGATGTCACCCACTCTTTTTAAGACTTACATCAACGATTTGATAAGGGCGGTTGAAGCAGCAAGACAGGGAGTCCAAGTAGGGGGAAAGAGTGTGTCCGGACTGATGTTTGCAGATGATTTTGTGGGGGTATCCGAAACACCAGAAGGGTTGCAAGAACAGATAGATGCGGCGGTGGGATACACCCGAAAATGGAGACTGTCGGCGAACGTAGGAAAATGCGCAGTAGTGGTCTGTAACGAAGACAAGAAAAATCCCGTAGAATTCAAATGGAAATGGGGGGAGGAAGAACTACCGGTAGTAGACAAGTATACGTACCTGGGAGTAGAGATTTCGAAGGAGTGCTCATGGGACGCACACATAGCGAAGTTGATTGGGAAGGGTAAAGCTCAGATAGGCAAGATGGACGAGATCCTTACGGACCCACACCTAGACACTAGGATTAAGAGGTGTATTCTCTTGAATTTGATTGTACCTAAGCTAGAGTATGCAGGAGAGGTATGGGAAGGTAACCAAAAGGCCGTCAAGCAGCTGGAAACGGTGCAGATGGCAGCGGCCAAGAAAATATTAGGATGTTCAAGTACAACGAGCAACACTGTATTGAGAGCAGAATTGGGAATGTACTCTCTTAAA